TCCAATGTACCAACCCCCATTACCCTAGTTACTGTATCAATCCATCTCATCCGGGGGCTTCCTCTCCTGCACTGTCCCTCCACTGTTCCGAGCATGATGTTCTTCTCCAAAGATCATTCCCTCCTGGCCACATACCCAAAGTATGTGAGACAGTTTCAAAATCCTAGCCTCCAAGGAAAAACTTGATTTCACCCTCTCCAAGACAGACCTGTTTGTTTTCTTGACAGTCCATGGTATGTTCAAGACTTTTTCTCTAGTGCCACAACTCAAAGATATCAATTCTTCTTCTGTCATCCTTAGTCATTGTCCAGCTCTATGATGCAAAGACCATGGACCAGATCAGGCACACCTTAGTCTCTAGACAGACATCGTTACTTCCCAGTACTCTGGAAAGGTCCCTGACAGCAGATTTACCTAATACAACTTGTCTTTTGATTTCCTGAATGCTAGTGTCGAGAGTGTTGCAACCAAGATGCATTAATAGTAATGGGTGACTGGAATGCAAAAGTTGGGAACCAGGAAAAAATATCAGTAGTCTGAAAACACGGATTTGATGACAGAAATGAGGCTAGGGATAGAATGATAGAATTCTGCACAAAATCAATTCAGGAAAAGATTTGAGACCTTGAACACTAAACACTAATGAACAAAGACCAGAAGAGATGTGGGAGGATATCAAGAATATCATAAAAAAAAATATCATCCATGAAGAATGCAAAAGGTTTTTACAAAGATAGAAGACCAAAATTGATGTCAGAAGAGACTCTATTGCACTAGGGTGCCAAGAAATTGGGCACATAAACGTTGAGTATTTTGCTGAAGTTCCAGTTACCTATATTTTCTTTTATTGGTTGGCGCTTTTATTGTTGTACTTAACAAGGCTTTGCCTAACTAGGATCATACAGATTTACTCCTGTTTTTCTCTTTGATTCATTTTAAATCTTTACCTCCTATATTTAGGTCTGTGATCCATTTTGAGTTGTTTTTGGTTTTTGTGTACAAAGGTGTTGAATTTCATTTCTATGATGCTGGGTAGTTGTTCAAGAACTGTTTACTCAAGAGAGAAAAAAACCCCAAACGAGTCTACCTTTCTACATTGAATTATTTTGACACACTTGTTGCAAATCAAGTGTCCATAAATGTGTAGCTTTATTTCTAAACCCTAAATTGTCTTCCATTGATCTGTATTTCTACTTTTATGCCAGTACTTCACTGTCTTGATCATTGTAGGTTTGATTATGAAGCATAGATATTGGGAAATGTGAGTCTTCTTTTTTTTTGAGTTTTTATTTCCATATGAAGTTTACAGTGGACTTGTTGATTTCTTTGAAAAACAAAAACACTAGCTGAAATTTTGATAGATTTTCTTAAATGCTAGATTCCATCCCAATAAAAAACCAGTTGGAATTTTGATACATTTTCTTAAGTTCTAGACCAATTGGGGGAGCTTTGCTATTTTAATAATCAGGGAGCCTTAGAGTTACAGTTTACAGGCAAGTTGAGTTTTTTCTTTTCTTTAATGTTACTTGTATTTGCTTTCACTTTGAGACAGTCTTAGCTCTCAATTCACAACAAATTCATTATAGTCAGCTGCACTTGCTACATTGTAACTTCTAAATCCTTGTGAAAAACTTCGAGCTTTTCCTTGTATCCAACTCATTGCTATCTAGTCAGAACCAACATGTACCTGGCAATCTAGTGGGTTTTGATAGGCTGTAAATTGCATGGGAGGGATTTACAGTCTCAGTGCATTGAAGTTGTTCATCATTGTTCTTAAGAACCACTGGTACGTTCAAACCATGAACACTCTGGGTTGGCAGCACACTAGGCCACCAGCCCTCCAAGTATCAAATTAAGTCTTAATAAGAACCCCTATGTGCATGTTCTCAGTTACCTGCAAATTCCATGAAAAGGGACAGGCACAGAGCTTGTTTGTAACCCAGAAGACAGGCTTTATTTTCTTTTCTAATACATATGTGATATATACATACCTATATGACATAAAACATAATGGATAGGAACTCTGGTAGCTTAGTGGTGAGGAGTTACACTGCTAACTCAGGAACATGGTTCATTCAAGTCCACCAGCTGCTCTGTGGGAGAAAGATACAAATTCTCCTTACTTGTTATTTACTGCCTCTGAAAACCCACTTGAAGATAGCTATGGGTCGAGTCCAACTCCATGGTACATAAGCACACAACAACAATATATGAATATAGGATGCCTTTTCACTTTTTCTTTCTTTTCTTTTCTTTTTTAGCAAGGAGTGGTTTATTCTCACAGCTGAACACAGGATGCTCCCGCAGCCTTGGGAGCAGCACAGGCAGCCCCCTCTCAGGCTCAGCTCCCCTTCTCAGTGTGGCAGCCTCAGGTGGGCAGGGTTGAGAGCCAGGGGAGCAGCCAGGTGGCAGCCATCCTGCCCGGGAGCTGGCTGGCAGCATCAGGCAGCAGTAGCAGCAGCAGGTTACAGAGTGGGCAAGGAGTCTTAGTCTGCCTGGCCAACTTCCGTTCCCCCATGGATGGTGCCTGATGAGGTCTGAGGGGCTTGGGCTGGGAGGTGGGTGCTGGATGCAGCTCAGTCGGCTGTGAGCCTTTAAGAAGGTAGTAGTAGTAATTATTGTTTGCCTGGTAGCTGACCATGACCGTAGCTGACCCTCCAATGGCTTTTCAGAGGCAGTAAATTGCACAGGAGGAGATTGCCCATCCTTCTCCTGTGTAGCATCAGCAGTACAATAGTTCCTCTGTACCATAAGGCCATGGGGCAGCTAAGCCTGTCCTTGGAAGGAGGAACCTCCTGTTGTAGATGTTGTTCACACAGGAAAAGTGCTGTTGGTCCTGAATAAATGCAGTTTCATAAAGGAGGGTCAGCATAGGAATGAGATAAAAGCCAAGTTTATGTATCTAGAATGAGGAAGAAATTCTTTGGGAGGGGAAGCCTGGATGATGTGTGATTGGTGCTCACATCTCTGCCTAATGGGGTGCTCTGGACAATCACAAGTGTAGTGTTTTAGTGGGAATCCAACAAAAAGATGTGATTTGAGCCTAACCCAGGTTATCTTTTGTACTTTCAGTTTTGGTTGAAGCCACCCACTTCCTTTTCAAGACTCAGAGGCTTCAGAAATCTCCCATGCTCTATGTCACCAGCGGTTACATCTCCTGAAAGCCTCTGGCCTTATTTAGATTTAGTTTAACTTCCATTCAAAGCCCATGCTTCCTCTTCTGGCCATGTCTAATGATCTGAGACACATTGTACATATATATTTGCTAGGTACTTAACTTGACGGGAAAGCAAACTAAGTTACTAGAAATTTTATTTATAGTCTGCATACAAGCATAAATTTCCTTTTTCCATGTGATGCTTCAATTAGTGTATGAATACTATTTCCTGGTTTGGGGTTGGGTTGTGTTTTTCTTTAAAAATCTTCCCGTTTTTGTGTTTGGGTTTTTTAACTTATTTTTCTTTTTTCTTTTATAGTGGTTTGCATACAAAACTAGTACACTTTTCATTTTTATATATTGTGTTTTATGCACTATTCATATTGTGTTTTATAGTATCATTCCCATACATTGTATAAAATTAATCTCCATTGATCCATGTCCACCATTACCATATTTTTTTTTATCCTCACTGGATCTTTCCTAATCCCTTCAGCCCTTCACTCTGCTCACCTAATTCTGAGACCTCAAGAATAAGTCTCCCTCCCAGTCCCCCTTTTGCTTTTTGCACTTTTGTATATATCTTACTAGTAATCTTTGTATTTTTACAATAATGGTCTTATGCAATATTTCCTGCTTAAAAAAATATTGTAGGAGGACCAGTCCTTGGAGAGGGATGTCATGCTTGGGAGGGTAGAGGGACAGTGCAAGAGAGGAAGATCCTCGATGAGATGGATTGAGTCAGTGACTGGTATAATGGGGGTAGGTGTGTCAGAGACAATAAGGTTGGCACAGGATAGAGTAGGGTTCAGAACTGTTGTGCACAGGGTCGCTATGAGTCTCAAGCAACTTGGTGGAACATAGCAATAACATTATCTCCTTGCCCTTAAGAAGGGTCACAAGGGAACAGATACCACCTTCATTGTTAACTATTTGGTTGGATATCTGGAGTCAGAAGGAATCTGATTCCAAAAGTTTGAGAATGTATCCTTCCCATTTCTCCATTCTCATGGCTCTATGACCCTGGCTATGCAGAATTGGGTTGGAATTCACACATTAAAAGGACCCATTTACCATAGAGGCAGTCTCCATCCAATAAGGGGGATGATCAGCATAGTATCAGCACAGAAAAGGAAGACAGTGATGGAGAAGGGTTATAGAAATCAGAATTTCAGGAAAAAGACTGATTACACCATGGGCATTGAGATGAAGGTGATCAAACAAAACGGGTCTGAATGAGCGATTAATTGCCTCTGAACACCTAAGGAAGAGCCAGCTATGGGTCAGTTTCAGCTCTCTGGTACACAACAAAACCAACAACAACCCTTTAGTAATGTATACAATATAATTATATGTTGGGGAGCTCTGATGGCCCAGTGCTAAGAAGGTATGTTGTGATCCCAAAGGCATGCAGTTTGAATGCACTAGCTTCTGTGTAGGAGAAAGATGGACAGTCTCTTCCCTTGTGATTAACCACCTCTGAAAATCCACTGCACAATCAGCAATGGTTGATTCTGACTCAACAGCACAGAACAACAACAAACATATATGTTTATATACACACATGTGCATGCGCGCGCACACACACACACACACTGGTAAGCTGTGGTGGCCTAATCTGTAGAGAGTTGCATTGCTAACCCAAAGGCCACACCTCTCTGGCAGTTCGAATACACCAGTGTGACTCCTTGGGGGGAAAAATGAGCCTTCACCACTACAGTTTACCGCCTCAGAAAGCCTGCTGAATGGTCAGCTATGAATTGGTTCTAACTTGTCAGTAATGAGTGAGCGAATATAACTGTACATGTTTATGTCTAAATCTGTACATGTGTTTGCTTCACAGAATGTGGAGGCTCTGGATCCACGAGGCCGGACTTTATTGCACCTTGCAGTGTCTTTAGGGCATTTGGAATCTGTGCGAGTCTTGCTTCGACATAAAGCAGATGTTACAAAAGAAAATAGCCAAGGATGGACAGGCAAGTGTACTTTGGAAATTCTTTCCTTTTTTTTTTTTTTAATTTTTTTTATTGGTATTTTAACAAAAGTTTACAGAAAACTTGGATTTCCATTCATCATTGTTGCACATTTTCTTCCCTACTCCACCCCAGTTTGCTTTTCTCTTTAAAAAGATTCTTTCATTGTTGCACAGTTTCCTCCCTTCCACCCCCCAGCCCACTTTGCTATGCACCTCTTATTCTGGACTGTTGTCATGCAAATAATACCTAATCCTATATAGAGCAGGGTTTAGGGCTGTTGTACATAGGGTTGCTATGAGTCACAAAGGACTCGATGGCACATAACAACAACAACAAAGTATTTCTTTTATACAGTTCTTTCCCTCATCTATTTAAGTGCAGTGTTCATTATTTTTTTTTATCTCTTCTTAATTTCACCCAACTCCCATGTCAGTCCTGTTTCATAACAGTGGCATAATGCAGTATTTGACCTTTTGTGACTGAGATATTTCACTCAGCATAATGTCCTCCAGGATTACCCATTTTGTATAATACTTTATGAGTCCCTTATTTTTCGGTGCTGCATAGTATTCCATTGTGTGAATATACCATGGCTTCTCTATCCCTTCATTTGTTGATCAATACTTGAGTTGTTTCCATCTCTTTGTTATTGTCGAAATGATTTCAAGCTTCTCATTTTGTTTCCTCTTTTGGAAGTAAGGCCAGGTTCAGTCATTATCTTTCTCATAGTCTTCTTTTTGTTTAAAACAAATAAATAAAATAAATTTTTACTTTACATTGGTTCATTTACAAAGTTCATATACATTGTTTTTCACACTTATCCACCCCTCCCTCCACCCATCAAATTGTGTGACCCCCTCCTGCCAGTCCTCATCCCTCTGCTCCCCCTTTCCTCGGCTTGGATCATCATACATTCTACAATAATGATCTTATACGGTAATTATCTTTATGAGACTGAGTTAGTTCACATGGCATCAACGTTCCTCCCCAGTTAGGTAGTGATTTACAAAATCATTGCTTCTGCCTGCTGCGTAGCATTCCATTGTGTGAATGTACCATAATTTCTCAGTCCATTAAATTGTCTCGCAGTCATCTTTATCTTAAGACTTTCTATATTGGGAATAGGAAGCAGGGAGGTGAGTGCCACAGAGCCTACAGGTGAGCTATACACAGCATAACACCCAGGTTGTGCTTCAGCCACAAGGAAGGCAGCCCTCAGTGCAAACCCTGTCCAGGGCTTGTAGGCGTGGAAAACAGCTTTCCTGTGAGGATTTTTGGCAACTTTTCCTGTCCAAGCAAGGACACTCTTTAGCACAAACTCTTCCTATTTGACCTACATGTAACCACTATTGTTAAAGCCAGCTCTCTGAAAATGTCAAAATTTCACACAAAACTTCAAAGCACAGTCTGTGCTTGACTGTCAACCTAAAGGGAGCTCTGATGGCTTAGTCGGTAGGGAGTCATACTGCCAACACAAAGGTATAAGGTTCGAATACACTCTCTGCCATGAGGGAGAAAGGTGGGCAGTCTCCTCCCATGCAGTTTATATCCTCTGAAAACCCCACTGTAGGGATCAGCTGCGACTTGGTTCTGACTCAACAGCCGTGAGTGAGTTAGACTAACCCTAAGGTTGGTGGTTTGAACCCAGTGCTATCGCAGAAGAAAGGTAAAGATCACAGCCAAGACAACCCTATGGAGCGGTTTTGCTCTGTAATAGAAGAGGTTGCCTTTAGTTGTAATTGACTTAGTGGCAAGAGATTTTTTTTTTTTTTTGGCAAGAGCAGAGTCTAGAAGATCAGGAGACTGAATGCCACCATTTCCTTCTCACGCAGCTAAATTGTTGTTGTTAGATGCCATCGAGTCAAATACAATTTGTAGAGACACTGTGAACAGCAGATCTGAATCCTGTCCTATCCTGTGCCATCTTTATCATCCCTGACACACTTGATTTTATTGTTGCAGTCACTGTATTAGTCCATCTCATTGAAGGTCATCTTCTTTTTCACAGACCTTTCAACATGATATCCTTCTCCAAGGAATGGCCTTTGCTAGTTAACATGCCCCAAATATGTGAGACCATCCTGGGATGGAAGATTCACCATCTTTGCCTCCAAACAGTATTCAGGTTGCACTTTCTCTTAAGACAACTGTGTTTGTTCTCTTGGCATTCCATGGGATAGTCACCACTCTCCTCCAAAACCACAAACTCTAGTTCAGCTAGAAGGTAGCCATCAGTTACAGTCAGAAGTGATAAGGATTGGCTGTAGTCTCTCTCCCTTTAAATGGGGGTGGGAGGAGGGAAATGCTTTGAGCTTTTCCACTTGGCTGTGGAGTTTGTCAGAAAGTCTATGGCTCTCTTTTGAGTGTTTAACTCTGTTCCTTTTGGCCCGTCAGTTCTCCACGAGGCTGTGAGCACCGGGGACCCCGAGATGGTGTACACAGTTCTGCAGCACCGAGACTACCACAACACATCCATGGCCCTTGAAGGTGTGCCTGAGCTGCTCCAAAAGATTCTTGAGGTACCCGTACAATTAGGAGTTCATGCCGTCGGAGTAAAGTGCCGACAAAATAACCATCTTGACCTCCGTGTGGCTGGCTGCCCAAAGAGTTTTATGAGCAGTGAATACTGCAATACGAAATAACACTATTCCTTGCTTTGCCAACTTAGTGAGGTCTGAGGTCATTCAGAAATGATGTATGCATGTCACAGGTCTTTTAAAGGGCTGCTGAAAAAATACTGACTTCAGGAAAAGGAACATCAAACACAAGACGTGTCTAGACATGTGTTTTCCATAAAGAAGCATCCACAATTGAGCGTAAGTCATCTTGAGTGACAGTGCCACAAGCATCACTTAAAGGGCTGGGCTTCTCAGGGCCTCTTGGGGTTCAGATGTTTGGGAGCATCTGCTCTTTGCCACTTTTGTTACTTCAAGCTCTTGGTATTTTTGTGACTTTTTTGTTTGTTTGTTTGTTTGTGACTCTTAATCTACTGTCTTAATTTACTCCCAGGATTGGCTTTTAAGCAGTTCACTCATCTTGTGGATCAAATGCCTGAACCTCATGACATTCAGCAGGTTTTCTTTTTAACTTACTTCTAGGTCATTGATGTGCTTTGGTCAATGGTAGCTATTCTTTCTTTTTCTTTTCTTTGTGATTTAAAGGTTGTTTTTCCATTCGATCCATTGTTTTAGAACACAAATCATAGTACAACAATGTCAGTGCACTCTCCCCACTTTCTCCCTGTGATTCCCATTTTCATTAATTCACCCAGCCATCGGAGCTTTATCCTTGGGCACATACTACCCTTTCAACTTTACATGGTTGATTATTCTAAGGGGATGAGTGCCTTTCTAGTATTATTGTTTGTTTATTTTATTTGTTGTTGTTGTTGTTGTTATGTGCCCTCATTTCAACTGCAGCTTATAGTGACCCTGTAAATAATGGATCTGAAACCTGCCCTATTTCATTCCATCCTCATTATCTGACACACTTAAGTCTATTATTACAATCATTGTCTATCTTGGTTTTTTTTTATTGTCAACAGATCTTTAATAAGTGCCAATTACGTACTAGATATTATTCCAAATACTTGGGACACATCAGAGAACAAACAGATCCCTGTCCTCACAGAGCTTCCAGTCTAGCATTTCCCACTTCACCTGCATACTAACCCAGGCAAGTCTATATATACCTTTCTGTGCTTCAGCTGCCATGTGGGAGGAATATGCAGAGTCAGCACAGACCATGGATAACATACTTGCTGTTCTGAAGATGCCAGACGAGACCCTTGCTAATGCCCCAGCCCATCTCTTGGACAACAGATAGGGCTGGATGTTGATTTTTACTAAGAAAGCACACTGGATATGGGGGTTAGAGCTGGATTGTCTGCTGTGCTGTGGTGGTGTTGGTAGAAGGGCCACACAGGGCTACACAAATTCTTGATGCTTCTGCTGCTGTTTCTTGGTGGCTGCCTTGCAGGCTAGGTCCTCAGCCTTCTCTGAGCTACCAGTGCTAGCTCCTTTGACTTTTTCTTGGCTTCCTTGACAGTTTCAACAAGTTAGAAGGGGCTTCACCTTGTAGCTTGGCCCTTCATAGTCTTGGTCACGTTGCTTTCAAACCCAGCCAGACCAAATTCTCGGACAGCTCTGGAAACACCAGACAAGCTAGAGGAGACCCAGGCCTTTTGGTGGATTTCAGTCATTTTTTTGACCACTCTGACCAGGACTTTGTCCTGTGATTCCATTCATTCATTCATTCATTCATTTATTTTTGGATGACCCCTAACAACAACAAAGATCTTGGTTTATTAACAAAACAAACACAACCTATTTGAAGTGGGATTAAAATCATAGGAACACAAATTAGGATTTACAACACATTTTGAGACAACACAAGTCAATCCATAATATTCTACCTTATGGTCCCCCAAAATCATACCCTTGCCACATGAAAAACCCATTCACCTATCACATCATCACAGTAGTCTTACATGAACACTTAAGTCCAAAAGGTAGTGTTCTGAAGCATTTGAATCAAGAGTGGTCAATGTTGGGAGCCAGGTACCATCTAGTTCTTCTGTAGTCTGGAGTGTGGAGGTTGAGATTTGCATGGCTCATTAGTTTTTTTTTTTACTAATTGTTTCTATACATCTTTGATTTTCATCCCTCTTCTTTACTCCCGACAGGGAGAGACAAGTAGTAGCCTCTTAAGATGGCTACTTGGAAGCTTTTATGTCATGATGACTTTGATGTTCCCCAAGACTATGATCTTGAAGACCCAGGATCAGCAAATCAATCCCTCTAGGTGTTTCATTGTAATTAAGAAATGTATATTCCTTTACTTTCTGTTGGTTCAGCTATATGTTGTTGTTATGTGCTATTGAGTCACCTGCAACTCAATAGTGACCCTATGTACAACAGCTCTGAAACCTATCCTATCCTAAGCCAGTCTCACAGACTCCAACACACCGACCCCTATTGCCCTAGTTACTATATCAAACCATCTATCTCATCTGAGGTCTTCCTCTCCTGCGCTATCCCTCCACCCTTCTGAGTATGATATCCATGAATTGGTCCCTCCTTGCCATGTGCACAAAGTGTGTGATGGAGCTTCAAAATCTCAGCTTTGAAGGAGAAACGTGGTTTCACTCTCCCCAAGACAGATCTATTTGTTTTCTTAGCGGTCCATGGTATGTTCAAGACTCTTTTCCAGCACCACAACTAAAAGGCATCAATTCTTCTGTTGTCCTTAGTCATTGTCCAGCTCTCTGATGCATAGCAAGTAATTGCAAAGACCGTAGACCAGATCAGGCCTACCTTCGTCTCTAAACTGACATCGTTGCTTCTTGGTCCTTTGGAAAGGTCCCTGACAGCAGATTTACCTAATGCATTTCCTTCCTCTTTTGATTTTCTAACTACTGATGCCAAGACAGCATATACTTAATATGATTGGAGCAATATCATCTGTTAAACTTGTGTATGACTGTTTTCATTTGTCCATATGTATTCATCTTGCCTGTCTGCTTATGTATTTGTTTGTAGATTAATGTTATATTATTGCTGATTTTGCAGGATTGTGTATATAATGGTATTTACTTTTGTGGACTGTGCTTCTGCTTTTTTTTTATTTTAGTCACGATTTTATATTAAGTTTATAAATAATTTGGATTTTCATTCATTCATTGTTGCCCATTTTCCTCCCTTCCTCCCTACCCTCCAGTTAGTTTTTTCTTTAGAAAAAAGTTGTTTCATTGTTATACAGTACCCTCCCCCCACAGATCAATTTACTATGCAGCTTTTATTCTGGACTCTTGTCACACCAATAATACCTAATCATATATTCCTTTTATACAGTTCTCTCCCTTGTCTGTTTCAATGCTGTGTACATTATTTATCCCCTCTTTTCTTAGTTTCCTCTCAACCCTCCTATCAGTCCTGTTTTATAACAATGGCATTATACAGTATTTGTTTTTTTGTGACAGATAATTCATTTAGCATAATGTTCTCCATGGTCACCCATTTTGTATAATGTATCATGAGTTCTTTATTTTTCAGTGCTGTATAATATTCCATTATGTGAATATACCACAGCTTCTCTAGCCATTCATTTGTTGATGGGCACTTGGGTTGTTTCCAACTCTTTGCTATTGTGAACAAAATAGCACTAAACATGGGTGTGCATATATCTGGTTGGAGGGCAGTTCTAGTCTCTTTAGGGTCTATTCTCAGTAGTGGAATTGCTGGGTCAAATGGTATTTCTATTTCCAACTTTTTTAGGAAGTGCCATACAGCCTTTCATAGTGGCTGCACTGTTTTACACTCCCAAAAACAGTGAATAAGGGTTCCGGTTTCTCCACAACCTTACCAGCATTTGTTGTTTACTGCTCTTTTGAATTTTGCTGTTTTTACTGGGGTAAGAGGATCTCTAATAGTTGTTTCGATTTACATATCTCTTAGAGCTAGGGATTTTGAACATTTCTTCATGTGTTTGTTCGCCATCTCAATGTCTTCTTTGGTGAAGTGTCTATTTATTTCCTGTGCCCATTTTACAATTGGGTTGTTTTCCTTTATCTTGTTGTGGTGCTGGACTGTATTTCTTATATGCCTCTTTCTTAGGTGTTATCTCTTTCTTTAGTGGTGTTGAGCTGAACATCTCCATATTCTTTCCCTTTACTCATCTTAATATGTACCTTTTATGTCAGTTTGGAAGCAGGAGTGGCATCCACTTCCTAAAGAATATGCGTTTGGAAACTCTATGAACTTTGGTAAATGACAATAGTTATAGAAAGGCTTCAGGCCTTTAGTTCATAGTGTTGCTGTGAGTTGTGCTCAACTCAGCAATCAATAACAACAACATGTCAGTTTGAAGACTAAGGTGTGCCTGATTCAGGCCAACGTTTTTTCAACCACTTGTAGCTGAGAGCTAGACAATGAATAAGGTTGAAAGAAGAATTGATTTCTTTGGGCTGTGGTATTGGAGAAGAGGACTGAATATCCCATGGACAGCCAAAAGAACAAACAGATATGTCTTGGGAAAAGTGCAACTAGAGTGCTCTTTGGAGAGAAGGATGGCGAGGCTTCATCTCACATAGTTGGCATGTTAGGAGGAGCTAGCTGTTCCTTGGAGAAGGACATCATGCTTGGAAATATGGAGGGTCAGTAAAAGATAAGACCCTCAATGAGATGGATCGACAACAGTAATGCAGCAGTGGGCTCACATGTGTCAGAGATGATGAGGATGGCACAGGACAGGGTTCAGATCTGTTGTTCATAGGGTTACAATGAATCGTGTTCATCTCAGTGACACCTACCAACATAATTTACTGGTTTTTACTCTTCCTTCCCTCTCAACCCACCCGTGGAAGCTGTCCATGAGAACCATTCTTTCTATTAGAAAACTTTTCTCTGAGTTTTTATAATAGTGGGCTGACTGTTATAAAAAGAAATAAAAAAACAACATACAGTATCTGTCCTTTTGTGACTGTTTCAGGGAGCTCTGGTGGTTTAGCCTGTAGGGAGTTGCCTGTAGGGAGTTGCACTGCAACCTTACTAGTTTCAAGTAACTATCTGTCTAAACATATTTTATTTCAGTGTAAGCTAAACCTACAGTTAAGTGAGCATTTCTTTTGATGGGTTTGCACTTTGTGCTTTCATTATTTTTCCTTTTCTCCCCATCCTTGCCTTTTTTACTTTTTCACACTTTTAAAAAAAATTTATTAGTTTTAATGAACATTTACAGAGATTTTGGGTTTTCATTCATTCATTGTTGCACTATTTTCTCCACCCTCCTCCCCAGTTCATTCTTCTTCCTCCCACCCCCCCAAATGTCTGTTTTAATTGTCCAATTGCCACAGTGCTTGGCAGTAGGAAACACATAGACTATGATGGAGATTGATTTTGGAATTTAGATGCACTGTTATCAATTGTGCTTAGCCGTACATGTTCATATCCTTGAAGATGTATCATGGAA